TGCAGAGTAGAAACATGCACAGTAGAACCCTGCAGATTAGAAACGTGCAGAGTAGAACCCTGCAGAGTAGAACCCTGCAGAGTAGAACCCTGCAGAGTACAACCCTGCAGATTAGAAACGTGCAGAGTAGAACCTGCAGAGTAGAGCCTTGCAGTGTAGAACCCTGCAGAGTAGAACCATGCACAGTAGAACCCTGCAGAGTAGAACCATGCACAGTAGAACCCTGCAGAGTAGCACCTGCAGAGTAGAAACCTGATCAATGTATCAGAACGTTTTATGTGAATCGGAGCGGCTTGGTCAAAAACAAAGCGGCTGATCATGGACTCTTTAAATGCAGGAAATGGCGAGCGTGGAGGTTAAACATACAGACAACGCCCTGCGTGATGGGAAACGCCCACTGATGACATGCCCTCTGTTTCCTGTATGTGTGTGTGTTAAAGGAAACAGACGATGCGGCAGGACGTCGTCCTGTCTCTCCGCCCGCTCTCCGTCCCCAGCCACTGTCCTCCTCGCTATTCTCTGACTCACCGCTCGGCTCAAAGCAGCCGCTCACTAAACGCCGCAGGAAGTTGCTGCTGAAGAGCAGCTCCCCCACGGGCCAAGTAGAGGTGGCGCTGCAGCTGCCAAGGATGCAGGAGTCACGGCACCGCCTGCTAACAGATATCTGTGCCCAATACCAGCCGGGAGTGGGTAGGCGGCCGCCGTCGCAGCGGCAGGTGTCGCGGGTGTACGTGGAGGAGCGGTCCCGGCTGCTGTACTGCGAGGTGCCCAAAGCTGGCTGCTCCAACTGGAAGCGGGTGCTGATGGTGCTGAGTGGCAGCGCCGCATCCACACGGGACATTCCCCACAACGCGGCGCATTACGAAAACCGCCTCCCGCGGCTCAGCGGCTACAGTCGTGCTGGCGTTACCGAGCGGCTTCGCTCCTACACCAAAGCGCTGTTCGTCCGGGAGCCTTTTGAGCGCCTCGTGTCAGCGTTTCGGGACAAGTTTGAGAGCCCCAACTCATACTACCACCCCGTGTTTGGACGGGCCATCATCTCCAGGTACCGAGCCAACGCCACACATGCTGCACTGCGCTCTGGCGCCGGTGTGACCTTCAGGGAGTTTGTGCAGTACCTGCTAGATGTGCGGCGGCCCGTGGGAATGGACATCCACTGGGAGCCGGTGAGCCAGCTGTGCAGCCCATGCTTCCTGCAGTTCACCTTCATCGGAAAGTTCGAGAGCCTGGAGCGTGACGCCAACTTCCTGCTCCGAAGCATCGGGGCGCCGGCTAACCTCACGTTCCCGGACTTCAAGGACAGGAACCCACTGGCGGAGAGGACATCCTCCAGCATCACACAGAAGTACTTCTCACAGCTCAACGCCACCGAGCGGCAGAAGATCTTCGACTTCTACTACATGGACTACCTGATGTTCGGGTACCCCAAGCCCTTCAGCGACCTGCACTGAGCCACTGCCGCGCTCAGCGTGTTTGGCTCTGTTAACGTGTCAGAGGGGTGGGACAAGCTGAGGCTGCGTACCTGTGCAGGTGTGAGAGCTCCAGACTCAGAGACTGATTTTTGTGTTTGTGTGTTTTTAACGACTTCTGTGAAGTTTGTTGAGCTGCGTCCTGCAGAGAGAAGCTGTCAGATAACGGCGGGAATCACATGGATGCTTCCGGGCTCAGACGCCGTGATGTCACACATTGACAACTTTGAGTCAATTGCTTGCGACGTTGAGGCATCAGCCAATCAGATCGCATTTAGCCAAATCTGCTCCAAACGCAGCTGTTGGCGAAAGAAGCTGAGGTGGTCTGCACAATTGCGGAGGAGGATGAGGAGATGAGCCGATGTGACCTCTGACCTCGGCGTTGTGGCAAAGACACGGTCGAGATGCTGTTTAATAATTTTCTTTAATCAGTGAATCAGGCACAAAAATATAAAAATGTTTTTCACAAAAATGTCATTTTATTATTTAACCCGACATTATGACAGCGAACAAGAAGTATGATGCTGCGGACTGACCGAGCTCTGGATTATTTTAATAAAGACCTTAAATCTGCTCGGGTGGAGGAGTGGCTCAGTTCATCATTTATGTACAGTCTGTTTAAAGCAGGAACAGGAAGTGAGGTAGGAGGTGATGCTGCAAATGTGTTTGTGGTGATTTTCAGACGACCTCGAAGCCTTAACACTGCCTTCTCACCTGTGACCACAATAAACGAGACACTCTTTGAACACCTGGAGACTCGCCTCTTATTCTGATACTCACAGGCTGACCTTTGACCTTTGTGCTCAGGTCTGGGTGTAAATAAAGTTTAGCTCCCCTAACATCACCTGCAGACCGTCAGATTTGTTATTATTCACCTGTATTTATTCATCACTGACGCTCTCCCTGTGGACCCAGTTGGACCCTCTAGTGGCCAGTCCAGGCCTGGTAGCCTCATGTTTGATAGCAGAGGCCTAAGCTGGGTTTAGATTAACCTGGGTAACTTCAGGCTTAACCTGGTTTCTATACAGATAAATCACCATGGTAACTTAAGATCAAGATTAAAGATAAATAGGTATGACATCACCGCCTACTGACCAATCAGATCTCCAGAAAATACCATTTTTGGACGATCCCTCGGACCTCTGAGCTGGAACAGCAGGTCTGTTTTATCACCGTGCGATGTCTCATGTTTCTCCGCTGATCAGTGATTTTTAAAAAGCCGTTACCTTAGAAACAAACAGTAGCATCTCATCACTGAGCGTGTAACGTGCGGTGGAGATGAAGCCAGCCGCGAAGGTGTGCAGGTGGATAGCGAATGAGCAACAGCTTCTGACTTTCCAAAAAGTACTCATTTATTTACAATATCAAAAATAAGTGCTACC